CCCCATCCCCAAGGAGGCTGCCATGACTCCTACTGCCAGCTCCGGCCTTCACCCAAGCTGGGATGGGCCCTGGATCAGCTGACTCAGCAGCTGGCAGGGACATCTCCTGGAGACAGCTGGGTGACTCCTGATGAGGGAGGGGCTGAACAGAACAAGACCTGTCTCCCTGGAAGAGTGGGCAGCTCCAGCCCCTCTGGGTGTGAAAGGAGGGCGCCTCCAAGGACTTGGGAGGAAGAAGCCAGAGATGTCCGAAGGCTTCATAAAACTACCTGGGGCTTCTTACCCCGGCCCAGCCACCCACACACACATTTTACTTCTAAAATTTTACAAAAATGAGGTAAAACACACCAGTTCCTTCTTCCTCATGTAACACCAGGTATTACAACCCAAGTATGGTTAAAGTGGCTGCTTCCATGGTTCAGAAGCCACACTGCTTCTTTCCTCCCATTATCCAACTTTTAAGCCTTCTTACTAATATATTCCATAATCTCCTTTCTTTCTTGATGGGGTTGTCAGATTTGATGGACTTGGCTTTCAAATGAAATAATTTGGAGTAGAAGATGAGGAGATGAAATGATTGTAAGAAACAACCACAGGAATCCCCAGTCTTTTTCTCAAGAATCCGGAGAAATGACACACTGACTTCTACTGAGTAAACATTTTTAGGGGGAAACACTAGTTTCTACTCAGATGCCACCTGTCAAAATCTACATTTAGTCTGAATTAGGACAAGGAAATAAGACAAGCCATTATGGTCCTAGGAGGACCTCTCTGGAATCAGAACTAGTTGATGAGAGACTTCATCTGTTTACTCCCCATCTTCTTATATCACATGTGTTTGAGGACATGGGTCTTATACCAGGAAGCCCTAAGTATCCATTAAAACCAGGACCAAAACCTGGGCTGTCAAAAAGTGAGGACTAAAGAGCAGGCTCAGAATAAGAATGTTATGGGCAGGAAAACCTAGAATTTTTAGCAAAGGGAGCAAAAAAAAACAATATGTGAGTGTCATTGTTCTATTTACTCAAAGGTTTTAAGGTGGAAGAACTACCTACCTGACTAAAAGTGGGAGGTGGAGGAGGACCAGGTGGGGGTGGAGGGGGAGGAGGAATTGGCATCCTTGCCCTGTACCCAGTTGGCACTGTTCTCTCTCCGTTTTAATTTGCAGCTTTAGGTCACTCATATACCTGCAAATGAAACAGAAATTCATTAAGAACTTCCTTAACATTAGACATACTGAATGCCCAGGAGAACTAGAGGACTGGGTGTGACACCAGAGAGACAGAGAGAGAGACTAAGCACCTCATCTCCTAGTTCCATTATGATCATGGATAGTCCAGGGCTTGGCAAACTTTTTCTGTAAAAGGCCAGATAACAAATATTTCAGGCTTTGCAGGCCACACATGTTCTCTGCTGCACACTATTCATTGTTGTTTTGTTTTTTTACAACCCGTTAAAAGTGTAAGAACCATTTTCAGTTCGTGGGCCACAGATTACTGACATCTGGGATAGTCACATTCCTGGAATCTGATCAGGGCATAAATACCATGTGACAATCAGGCACTTACCAGGGCTCAAAACATTTAACACTAAAAAACTGTACAGCTGTCCCCCAGTAGAGTCGGTTAAGTGATCCTCATTTTACCCCCCAGTGATCATCTCCCCTTATAACATGTCCTAATGAAACCCCTTTTCCTGTCCCTCCAAAAAATGGAAACCAAATTAACCAGCCATCATGAGTACAACTTACTCACAGATGACAAGAAAAGTTCAAGATAGAATAGTAAGCTTCACAAATCAATCCATGAAAGAACTGCTTCTGAGCAAGGTGATTAATGAACGGGAGATCATGTGTCCCAAGCCAAGCCTAAAAGATCAAACCAGCATGGCAACCCACTGGGTAGACCTGGTTCTAAACTCCTTACAGGGGTGAACAAAGCCTCTCTGTGAATAAAGGAATAACCACTTAAACACTTCTCTCAATGTCCTGGAAATGGCAAAGGGCAGGTTAAGTTTTCCAAAGGGTCTATAAAACCAGGAACTTTTGGAGGGGAGAAGAATTTGATCAGAATTGTGAGTGTGAAGGTCTTCAAACTCCACACCCTTTCCAGTGTAATACCACTATAAGCTGGCTGCCCAAAAGAACTAGTTCTTCCAATTGCAGACAAAGAACTGGACGGTGCTTTGGTGAGGTAATTTCCATGGGCAATAGTGTCTGAACTCACCTTAAGAAATGAGCAGCTGACTCCCCTCCAAGGGAAATATGTTCCTGTTTCTGGTTTCAAAGCTAAGTCTAGTCTTTCACTGCCAGGAATCTAACACACTAGGCTTTAAAAATTGATCAAAATAATAAATCTTCGTAACCAGAACATCTATCACCAGGGTGGAAATTTAAAATAAAACGTAAGAAGAAGATAAAAACTTTCTTCTCTTTGAATTTTCTGGACTCACCCCAAAGTCCCCATAATGTTCACAAAGAAAGTCAGCAGGAATAAACAGGGAAAATAATAGTCTATTCAGAAACCAACATTTTCAACTAACTCTAGCCACCTCTGTTCCCGCCTTTTCTAGGTTTCCAGTTCTATCTACCTTTGGCCATTGCCATGGTTGAAATGGTATTGCAGAATGACCTGGAAAAGAGATTCAGATAAGCCCCTAATTGTTTTTATAGCCGCAGCTGATGCAACCTACATGCTACAAGATAAATAATGACCTAAAGGAAGAACCTTATGCCTGACAGACACCACTACTTATTAAGCAAAGCAGTTGTTCTCTAGCAAGCCAAACCTTTTTTTTAAGCAACCCACTGGAAAAGACCACTAATATATTATGCAGTTAAAGATGCCTTCTTAACATAGGCTCAGTTCAAACTCCAATTTCCAAACAGATCCATTAAAGAAACATCACCTTCGTCAAGTTACTTTAGTGTGGACTACTGGCAGTGGCTCTCAACCTTTCTTCTGCCTCCATGAGGTCTGCATGCACAACCCACTTCTATCAGTGAAATTTATTATATAATAATACACTAGAATAGGTATTACTGTTCCCGTTTTTAAAACCTAAGAGTGGGAATGCATGCATGCATATGAGAGAGAGACTAAGTAACTGATCTGAGAGGCAACTTGCCCGAGATGACACAGGAACAAACTGTGAAGGTATGACTCCAACCCTGGCCTTCTAGGTCAATTTCTTTCCATTTCACTGATCACTGCTGGGGGGAAAGAATCTCCCCTGGGAATTGGTGTAGTTTAGCAATTTTCTATTTTTCACCAAATGAAAATTCAACCCACTTGAAATTTCTGTCTTAGTGACAGGAAAAACAAAAAAACAGCCTTCTAAATATTCTCCAAGAGCAGCCTAATTTATATGAATTCCAATTAAAACAACTTTCCTTTCTCTGAAAAGCCCCAAACGAAGCTTTATTCAAAGGAGTTAGGATTTCCAATGCAGAGGGGATCTACTTTGAGAACAGTTTCTAGTTAATAAATGAACCAAGAACAGTTCATAATGTTTAATGGTTTGTTGTTGTTGGGTGACAAGGAGTAAATTTTGACTCATAGTGACCGCATGTGACAGAAAAGAACCTCCCCATAGGGTTTTCTGTAATCTTTACCAAAGCAGATTGCCAGGTCTTTCTCCCAGGGAGCTGCAGGGTAGCTTTTGTTTAGCAGCCGAGCGCTTAAACCTTGGGCCACCAGGGCTCCTTGAAGTTTAACAGTAGACAAATTTCACTGACCAATTATTTTTAATCAAAGGTCAAATTCAGGCCGTCTGGAAGTACTGTCTATTGTGATTGTAAGAATCCAATATTCCTAAGGTTAAACCTGAGAATAAATTTAAAAAGAAAAAAAGAAGATTCACTACAGAATTTTTAAGTCTTTCCTTTCTGATCTATTTAATTACAAATACAAACCTGACCATTTGTGCTCTTCAGAGCCCTTGATTTTCAGAAATATTTTGAGATTGCCTCTAGTTCAGCAATGCAGTAATTCTCATTCCCTTCCTTAAGCCCTTCCTTCTTAAAAACCATAATATAATAAGCTTTTTACACCCTTAGGAGTCAGTTTCTTTGAAATAAACTGTGCATTATTTCAAATCTTCAGGATGTCAAATTTATCACAGAATTCAAAGGTAAGTCTTCATAAGACGCAAGCAATGTACCTTTAAAAAGTGCTTTCTTCTACTCTTCAAAAGACAAACCCTATTTTTTAATTTAATTTCCTAATGTTTCACTCCAAATATTCCTACATTTTTAAGGCAGGAGACTTGCTAAAGTAGAAGGTACCAACTACTGCATTGTATATTTGATAAATGAAGAATCCAATTTAGTTGTTGCTTTTTTTCACATATTTAAAATTATCTAAGAGGTATCCTAGTTATGGCTACAATTTTGGGCCTTTACTCAAATGGGGTTCCGCTAAACTCCGGCTTCAATTGCAAGTTATTTTAAAAAGAAAAAAAGAATCAAGAAAAATTCTAAAGTCTAATGCCACCTTCTACTTTCATGCTAAGAGAGCTCAGGTAACAGCACTTTCCTTTGATCTTAGTTTTGATTACAGAGTAAATTACAGCTTTTGTATCAAAGTACCCAACAAAATCCCATAAGGAAAAAAAACTAACCTTAAAAAAGTAGACTGCTTCCCTCAGCAGAGCCTAAAGGGACTGAATTCAGAACGTCAACAAGAAAATTATCTCTTCTTTCTTAAAGACACATTCAACCCTTCAATATCCTATTAAGTCTCCTTCCAACATAAAGAAACAGAGAGATAGGTAAAACAGACATGTAAGCACCGTTTCTGAACGACTGGAGACCTGACAGCACAGTGGTTAAACGTTTGGCTGCTAACCAAAAGGTCAGCAGTTCGAATCCACCAGCCACTGCGTGGAAACCCTATGGGGCAGTTCTTCTCTGTCCTATAGGGTTGCTATGAGTCGGAATCGACTAGACAGCAGTAAGTCTGGTTTTGGGTCTGAAAGACCACAAAAGCTCTGCCTACTCTGTCTCCAGAAATCTAAAGAGAAGACAGTTGTATCTTCAATAAAAAGGTTCCAGCTGTTCTCTTAATGGAATTCTTCTGATCCCATAGGTCAAATCAAATGAAATCTCTCTAAAAGTGTCAGAGATGGAGTATAAACGTTTGGAAAAAAGAGAAAGTCAGTTGCTCTAGGACAAAGAAAATCACATAATGAAGAATGGGAGTTTTGTCTGATGTATTTTAACCGCAGTCAGAAGGAATGACAATTCTGCCTGATATGGCTTCAATAACCCAGTTAGGTGGGATGACAAGACTTTTCAAGCATGGACATTCAAAACCCACTGATGAATCAACTGTTACAGCCCTGCAATACAACAAGCAGTCCCAGAAACATTCACATCAAACAAGAAATTCAAAATGACCAAGTCCACTTTGTGTATTTCTCAACCAGGTCTCTGGTCAAACAGAATTAACAGCAAGAAACCAAGGATAACTGCAACAAATGAAAATAAGTAAAAATTTAAGGAGTAGGTTATTGTAAAAATTAGATTCCAAATTAAACAGTAATTTTACCCTGTTCTGATAAACATTTAACTGCCGACTCAAATAACCCTATGTGGCCCATTAGTACCAGTTTAGACATTACCCTGGAATAAGAAACTCTGGAGGAACATTTCATATATCTATGTTCATTTTACCCAATGAGCTCTTAAGCACAGACAGCACCATATCCTTTTATAATTTTCTCCTACTATTCTACAGCATAGAATAGGTGCTCAATAATTACTTGTTGAACTGAACAAAAGTAAATTTAAGAATAGCACTGTATAAAAGAGCAACTTAATGTGAGTGGAGGAAAAAAAGCAGCGAGGGATGGATCAATGGACCAGAAACAAAAAAGACAGAAGAAGGGGAATATCTATGGAAAACAGAAAGGAAGAAACACAAGGCTATGCACACAGTTCACTGTCCCAAAATTTTATAACTTGCTAAATTCATTCATTCATGAATTCATCCATCATTCACTAAATATTTATTAAGCACCCACCCACTTAATCCAGTTAGTATTTATTAGGCACCCACTATGTGCTAAGAAGGTACCTGGGTGGTGTAAATGGCTTACGCCTGACTACTAAAGTTGGCGATTCGAACCCACCCAGCAGCACCGTGGAAGAAAGGCCCAGCAATCTGCTTCCATAAAGATTACAGCC